TATAAGAATATGGTTGGGTGATGACCACCTGAATGATGTTTTGCTCTTGTCATCGACAAATATTTCACCTGATGTGGTGAAGTTATCGAACAATAAGCAGAAAAAGTAACTCTTTAAATAATTTGCCATTTCTAACTGTATTTCCTTTGAAGTAAGGATTTTGCATTTTTTGGTTTATTGTCTTAGTTGTTATCCTGTTATTCCTACAGTAAAATAAGGAACCTTATTTCAATAATATAAGATTAATTTCATTGTTTTTTGTTTTTTTTTGCTTTAAGGTAGATTTCTGGACGGAGCGGTCTGAGGGCAGAATAATTTATTATTGGCCCTCGTCCGCGACACTTGCATAGGTGTCAGGCCTACTCTCTCCCAAATAGTTGCAGACCCCTGTTCTAGACAATGTAGGAAAAGGAAGCGAAATGAAAGGATTATTCCACAGTTGTAAGAGGAGGAAATGTATGGTTGTTAGCAAGGAGAGACCAAGACGCCAGCTAGAAGTAAGATACGTCAAAATAAAACAAATTCATAAATGTAATTTTCTTTTTTTTTATCATTTCAGCCTATGAAAAACAATAAAGCTATTAAGACGCAAAGGGTTCCACAGGCGAGAAGTCTGACAGATGAAACTATTAGCATAGAACTTACGGTAACAGCTAGCCATTTTGATTGTAAATGATACATTTTAACTATTTGGGAAATATTCTAAAAGGCGATAGAAAATGTAATACAGAAATTCGAAGACTCATTCGAATGACAAAAGATGCCTTAAGAATGTATCATGAAATAGGGCACTTTCGTTGGAAACAAAGAAAAGAAGCTGACCTGCTATGAGAGTTGAGAATGAACTTGCAATGACGAAGGTTTATACTCAGTGGCTGCGACATCTTCTGACAATAGATCAAAAGCGCACCAGTCTGCACGTATCACGAAAAAATCTGACATTGTTTGAGGCAGATCTCTATTCTCCTGGTTTGGCCTCATATGACTGTCATCTATTCCCCAACATGAAAAACAACAACACCTGGCTGGTAACAAGTATCGCAGTGATTATGACTTTATACCTACTGTTGATGACCGACAGGAAAAAAGCTTCATCACCAATTGAATTGAAGCACTGCAACATCAATAGAAGATCTGTGTGGACCGCAAGGGGGTGGTGGGCTATGTTGAAAAATAATTCTCATTTGGTTACATTTCATGAGAGTATCTCGGTCAGTCTATGAACCTTTCGCCCGACTATCGTATAACGGTTGAAATGTTGTGAGTTTCAAAACGAAAAGATTTCCACGCAATAATGGAAATTTCCCTAAAAGACAAATCCAATCAATCGCTGCATTTTCATTTTCATTTATTCTTTCAAGAATAACCAAATAACCCAAGAACCGATGTTTTTGTACGTGTAACAATAATTAATATTGTTTCGATTTAAATCAACTCTGTTCCAGTTTCGTGCTTTCCATCCAACTTTATCAAAAACATAAATCTTTTCTCCTTTCTTTTTCGTTTATTTTTCTCTCTCCTTAACAGTGTTTTTCTTTTTCTCATATTCTTATATTTATATATTTATATTCATATTCTCATATTCTTTTCACACTTAATAATCTCTTGCGTTTTATTGACTCAAGTGACTAAAAAAAGCATTAAGCATTTTCTGCATATTAAGATGTTTTTTGGTTCAGAAATAAGTTATGGTAAGGATAACAATGGTTAAAATGGCCGAGCTCAACTAGTTTAAGAATGTTTGAATAACTGACTTGCAACTTGTATTTGACCCTCCAACATTCAACCTCTATCTTTTACTGGGGTTATCTTTCTCTCGTAAGAAGCGTATACGGATTTACCTTAAAGCCAATGGAACGCAGTCCGTAAGTTATATCTGATGGCGAGGAGCTGCTCAAGACAAACAAAATGGCGTCAATAACGACATAAAGTTGCATAGATTGTTTTCACCATTTATATTTTCAGTTGCCTTCGACTTGGCTGAGGAGAAATGTACCTCAAGCCGTTGTGGTTGATGAATTATTTTCTAACCTACCGCCACAAGCCTCTCACTATGCTATCGCTATGATTTCTATGGTAAACGTTCTGACAAGTTACATTACTTCGGTCAACCAGACCGTTACGACTAAAACCCGTGATAGTAAGTGTAAAGGGTAGAATCATTTTCATTCTCTTCGTATTCCATTGGTAAGGATGAAGTTCTGTTCGGACAGCTTCTTCGTAAAAACCGTTACATGATAGAACAGACTTCAAAAAATATGATTCCTCGATCACTTATGGAATTTACAAAGGTGCGGTTTTGTGAGTATTTTTGTTCACATAAACAAAGAAGAAGCCTACAAAAATTTGGGTTCTACTTCTTTCTTCAGGACGTAGGCGATCTTGGTTCTCCACCTCCCCCTTTTCTTTTGTAGCTTTCAATAAGTTTAGTCTTTTTTCTTATTTCTCCCAGGCACTGTTTTGCCATCCACTTGTTTAACCCATTATGTACGCCACGTGTTGCTTTCCCTTGACACTCTTTCCCTCTATCCGCCCTGTGAGTATCTGATTTTCCAAGACCTCCTTTCTCATTACGTGTCCCAGAAAATTCAGCTGCCTGTTCTTGATGTATAAGTTTCCTCTTTGCATCCTCTCCAAAACCTCATCGTTGTTCACATGTTCGGTTCATGGTATCCTTAGCATCCTTCTATAGAACCATACTTCTGTTGCCTCGAGTCTCTTCTTCTTCTTTGAGGAGATTGTCCAATATTCGCTGTCGTAAAGGAGTACATATATTAAGTAGCATTTCAGTACTTTTTTTCTTTTATTACCAACGAAACCCTCCTGTCTCGTAATACTTTTTTTCTTTTATAACCAACGAAACCCTCCTGTCTCGTAATACTCTGCATAGCTTTTGGAATACGTCTTTGGCCATCCCAATATGTCTTCGGATCTCAGCGTCACACTTTCCGTCTTCTGACAAAACACTTCCTAGATAGAAGCACCTGCTTGATATTAGTGTCCGCGACTTGTAAATTGTGTTTCGGGCTCATCTTTTTGCTGATGACCATGCATTCTGTCTTCTTGTAGTGTATACTTAGTCCATTTTTCTCGCTCTCCTTCACTACCTTCCTTTCTGTCTACTGTCAGCACTGTGTCATCTGCGTGTCTTATGTCGTTAGGATTGGGGCCGCCATTGATGAATCCTAGTAGTGTTTCCCGTTCTCTCAGAATTTCCTCGCTCTATAGGTTGAATAAGTCCGGTGAAAAGACACATCCTTGCCTTACGCCCTTTTCTACTTTTGTATATCTGCTGAACTCATTTTTTATCTTTATGCAGGCGGCTTGCTGACATTAGGGGTTTTTGATTATTCTAACATCTTTTCCGAGTATGAGAAGGTTGCTGTGCAGCTCTAACAGATCTTTGTGGCATACTTTGTCCAACAACTTTGCGTAGTCTATAAAACACCGGTACGCATTCTTCCTCATTTGTATTGCTATTTCTGATAACAATCTGATCATGAATATCGCGTTCCTTGTTCCGGTGTCGTTACCGAACCCGTACTGTTCTTGTCCTGTCACTGGCTTGATTCTGCAGGGTGTTCTGAGTTTTTTTTTTTGTTTTTCATTAGGCTGATTGTTCGGTGGAGTACACATTCGTTTGCGCCTCGTTTCTTAGGCAGTGCTATGAAAATAGATCTACTTAGATCTTCCGGTATATCCCTACTGTTGTAGATTTCATTTACTATTTCTGTAATTTTGTCTATTATCCAAAGCATTTCTGTTATAATGCTGTCTGGTCCTGTCGTTTCTGTTCAATTTGGTCAGTGCAGCTTCTGCTTTGATTTTTAGAATTTCCGGCCTGTCGGTTGTACTCGTTTGTCGTGGAAGTGTTCTCCAATATATTCGTTCCAGCGCTAAAGCATTTTTCCTTCTCTAATATGAGCGTTCCATCCTTAGATTTTATGTGCCCTGTTGACGAGCATGTCGTATGTCCTGTTAATTATTTGTTTATGCATATCTCCTTTGTGGCAAGCTCTCTATTTCTGCACATTTTTTGTTTAGCCACTCCTTATTTCGTTGTGTAGTTTTCTGTATTCTGTTCAGAAGTATGTTAGGGAAAATAAGGATAAAAATGGTTAAAATGGACGAGCTCAAGTCAGCTTTGCACTGAGTTGGAACAACCAAATTACTTCATGAGTAGGTAATGTCAAAACAAGTCCGAACGCATCATGAGAAAATTAATTTCTTTTTTATTCTTTATTATTATTATTTTATTTATTGCTTTTATTTAATTTTCCGACAAACTACAAACTTCAACCGCTTAATTAATCTTTCACTTATTAATCTCGGATTAACAGTTATCCACTTTAGGCAACCTCGTTCAGTAGCTTCTTAACTCTTAATCTCGGATTAACCGTTACCCACTTTTAGCAACCTGGTTCTGTAGCCTTTTAGTTCTTAATTTAGGATTAACCGTTATCCACTTTTAGCAACCTCGTTCAGTACCCTTTTACTTCTTAATCTCGGATTTACCGTTATCCACTTTTAGCAACCTGGTTCTGTAGCCTTTTACTTCTTAATCTCGGATTTACCGTTATCCACTGTTAGTAACCTCATTCAGAAGCCTTTTATTTAACCTCGGATTAACCGTTATCCACTTTTAGTAACCTCGTTTAGTAGCTTTTTACTTCTTAATCTTGGATTAATCGTTATCCACTTTTAGCAACCTCATTCAGTAGCCTTTTACTTCTTAATCTCGGATTAACCGCTATCCACTTTTAGCAACTGGTTCTGTAGCTTTTTACTTCTTAATCTCGGATTAACCGCTATCCACTTTTAGCAACCTCGTTCAGTAGACTTGAGTAGTTCTTAGGCCTTGTGATAAAAGAAAACCAAAGAACAACAAGAAAAAGCAGCATGAAAGCGTTTTCACTGTAAATATAAATAATTAATCAAAAAATAAGTTTAAAAAAAATTGACTGATATATTTGTAAAATGTCATTTTTCATACATGATTAATGGCTTGCCGAGAAATATTTTCTCTATTTGATCGTGCAAAAACATTTTCTCACTCTGCCATCCTCGCACAGACACGAGGGTAGGTCAATAAGTCTGTAGTCTGACACGTAATTATTAAATGAAAAAGTAATATCCGATCTATGTGATTAAAATTTGCCATTGAATTAAGTGCATTGACAAGTATGGAGATTATGTTGAAAAATAAGTATTCGTCATATAAAATAAATCCTTTTTGACCATTAGATTATGAGAGTATTGATCACGACCGTAATGGCGGTTAACCAGTGTTGATTAACCATTATCTCAAAACCGAGGCGCCTGATCCTTTTTCATTTGCTAGCAATTTAAATTTATTCAGTGTCACTAAACAAGTACAGTAATTTCCGACAATAGGAATTCAAGCGTGCCACCAGATTGGCAACTAGGTCTCACCATTTTATTGTTGAACTGCAACCGCCACATCTATTCTGTCAGTATTTTTTTCTCGCGGTTCGTACCTTCCAATATCTTGATTTCTTGATAACTAAAATTTTCAAAAATTTAAGCGTAACATCAATCACCATCTTCTTTCTTGAACCCTCTTTTTTTTTGCTTTTTTCTCCTTTCCTCAATCCTCCTCATTCTCAGCCAGTCAGTTATGTGCCATGCGTGATACACACGTAGACGATCATGTATCTTTCGATACATGATCGCCTACCTGTGACGAGGCAGATTTTTTTGCCGCAGTCTGTTGCCATTTCTTTCTGCGGTGAACCAGTTGCCATCCAAGGCAATAGAACCTGGTCTGTCCTGCTATTTACCCATATCTGGGGGAGAAGAGGATTCATACCCTTTCCCAAGGGTATTAGCACGTAAGTGATTGTAATGGATTCGACTTGAATTCGAACTCGGCTCTCCGATTCATCAATCCGAGCTACTTTCCATTACTCCACCGTGCTTGCTAAAGGCCAGAAACCATTAGAAATACCGATGCTAAGTTCATTCTCCCACTTTGATAAAAGGTTTATTATTCTTTAATTATAACAGGTTAAATGGCAAAAGTAAATAAATCCTAATTGAATATATCAGGGTTCGAAAAAGGATGATGGGAATAACGTGGGCCAAACCTATGAGCAACGTCCAAGTTTTAGAGAAAATAGACACAAAAAGGACACTCAAAACATCAAAAAGACGCAGTTGAAATGTCTCGGGTATGTAATGGGAAATTTGATATTCACATGATAGATTAAAGGCAAAATGGACAGAGGAGAAAACAACGCATAACCTATCTAGCGAGCTTGTGTAAACGAACAGCAGAACATGCTTTAGGAGAAATAACAAACAGACAAAATTCATTAGGAAATTGTGGAGAGCCATGATCACCAATACACTGAAGTGACACGACACATAGAAGATGATTTTAACCAGTCATTCTTCTTATATTTTTATTGTGAAAATATGTTAGAAGGTTCCTGTGAAATTTTAAACGCAAATCGAGCAAGTGTATGAGGAAAATGAAAAAAGGCGAATTAAAGCCCCCTCCCACACCTGCACTCAGCAAATAAAGAATGCATATGAGTATTTTTTAAATAAATCTCACGTAACTTTGGTATGTTTTCTCAGTGTAAACACAAATTCTATAAGTCAGCCATTATTATTTACTTCCTTTTAAATTCAGTTGCATTTCATCACAACTCTTAAAACCGTCATCATCGAAAGTAACTAAATAGGAGGTGAAGCATCCTTTTTCTGTGTAGCGTATCCCTTCAGGACTTGGGCGATCATGGCTCTCCTCAACTTCCCATCCTTTGTAGCTCTTAGCAGTGTTTGTTTTTTACTATGCTTCTTATTGCCTGTTCTGCCATATATTTATACCAGCTCATTTCTTTTGTCTTCCCCCTGTCCTTTGTGTCTTCCATAGGTCCTTTGAGTGTCAGATTTTCCAAGTCCTCATTCCTCATTATGTGACCTAAATATTTCAATTGTGTCTTGATGATTTTAAGTATTACTGAACTTTTCGATCCCATTTTCGTTAAAACGTCCTTGTTTCTCGCATGTTCAGTTCATGATAATCAGTCCCCTGTTACAGAACCGCTTCATCTGTTGCCTAAAATCTTGTCGACATCTGTCAGGAAATTTTCCAGCATTCATTGCCATATAGGAAAATTGATGTTACATAGAATTTTAGCACACTTTTCTTTTTTTTAACAAAATTTATCCGTTTTACTTGTCTGCAACAAGTGGAAATAAAGCAATTGAAATGAAGATGAAAGAAATCCTAGTCAAAAATGAACAAATGCTTGACACTGCTTCATTTAATCAAAATTGCAGATAATATTACTACTAATAATAATACAAGTGAGAATAAAGCAATTGAAATGAAAATGAAAGAAATACCAACCAGAAAGGAATAATGGTGAAATTATCCGTTTCCATACAGGAAACGTTCAGCATTCATTAACCGCGAAGATATTCTCAGTTAAAATTTATAATACCATTTTTAAAAATAGTTTTTTTCAGGAAATTAGACTTCAAATGTCCGTTTATCTGTTATGGCTTTTACTCACGTTGATGGAAGTTTCCTTGCAAAACTTTTGTTTGTGGTGACTTTCATCATGTCATTACTCTCTCTGCTCGTTACATATGATGGCTATTTTATTTGATTCTGCTGCTGAAAATCTTCAAATGATCTGATATTTGTTATTTTATAAAGCTTTGTGATCATGCAGCGTCAGTCTATAGTGTGTAATGAAGGATTGTCTCCTTTAAGGGTTCAAGGATTCATTCACTTGACTCATAATCCGAGAAAATGGTTTAGTACTGATGTAAGTTTAGACATTTCTGAACGAGTTGGACTCCAGCTATGGAATGTACATGAAGGTGTTGCTCTGACAAGTCTATTTACGAACATGACAGTGCTTTATCTATTAATAAAAATAATTTAGTATAATATTACTACTTCTACTACTGTATATGTAGGGCCGGTTCAAGGGCATCGTACCCCCCCTTCAAATCTATGATACCCCCCCAAATCTATGATATCCTCCGAATCTATGATTTGTGACCCCCAGTCTACGATATCTCGGTTATTATAAGGTAGTATTCATATAAAATAATATTTTATTGTATCCTAAATCAACAATATTTTGCGGCAATTTTTAACATAAACTTGAGAGTTTTCTTGTGGAAAAATGGATAATGAATAAAAAAAGTGGTTAATTTTAGTTAGTGTTTTTCGAGACTTAGCTTGAGCAAAACAAATTCTGGAAGGGATAGTAAAAAGAAAAACATTGCCTATAGTTCCAAAGGATAGGATATTGTGGAGAGCCATAATCACCTACGTAAAGATCTTGTGCGCATGGATGGTAGAACAGAGAAGGGATAGTTAAAAGTCAAACATTGCTAAGAGCTACAAAGGATAGGAAGTTGTGGAGAGCAGTGATGTCCTGAAAAGACACGGTACATAAAAGAAGAAATTCAGACTTTTATTTATTATTGTTGATTAAAGCGTCAATCATTGGTAGTGACTATGCTGAGTAGGGACGGTCCAAGGGTCTTTTACCCCCACACCCAAATCTATGATATACCTCCTGAATCTATAATACGGCCCCGCACTCTACTACAACTCAATTTTCATATAAAATACACATTTTATTGTAATCTAATTATGTACAATAATGGATCATATGCAAGATAGGTGAACAATTCTTCTAGAAAAATTGAAAATAAATACAATATATCCAAAAACAAATTAGAGACATATCATAATAGATCATTCCATCTTAAATGAATCAACAATGATTTGCGGCAATTTTTAACGTCAGCATGAGATTATTCTTATTGAAAAATTGAAGAATTTTAACATATTCAACATTCATGGATAAAAATAATGAATTTTATGTAGTATTTTTTGAGACTTAGCATGGAGTAACACGTCGTCGATTCAACAGTTCAGTTCAAAACCAGAAATCGATCCGGACAATTGGGCGACGGAAGCTGAAAAAAGAATTGGAGAAGAACAGTCCACGATAAAACAACATCCTTCGAAAACACCAGAAAGCAAATAGAAGAGATGAAGAGAGCGCAAACAAGAACCATAGTTCTCCATCCCTGAAAGCTTCTTACTGTACTATGCGGTGGTTGCGGACGTCTCTTGAGATTCAACATAGGACACATTTCACACAGAAGGAAATAACTATGAGTACCCAATACTCGGCAACGAGTTTCACCAACGACCATATATATATATATATATATATATATATATATATATATATATATATATATCAAGTAGGTCAAAGAACAGATCACAATAGAGAAAGAAAAAGGAATATTATCTGGTTCAACCCACCCTCAACATCCAAGTAAGAACTAATATAGGAAATATTTTTTAACCGTTTAAATAAGTATTTCCCAAAAACATCCAGGTTGTAAAAATTATTTAATCGTAACATAGTCATTTTGAGCTACAGTTGCATTAGCAACTTAGGGATAACACAATTAAAATGTTGAACAAAAAAATTCGAATCTTGAAGAACATGTAAGGAGTGGAACTAAGGATCTTTGTAATTGCAGAAGAAAAAAATAATTGTCCCTTAAATAGGGCATGTTGCACAGAAGGTGTAGTGTATTGTGCCGAGGTAGAAACTGATAATGGCAGTGCAAAAACATACATTGAATGCACTGAGGGTCAATTTCAAATGAGGTGCTATAATCATATCTCTTCATTTGAAATACCCGAATGCAGGTTCAAAACATTCAAAGGTGGTGCTGAATTGTTAATCCGAAAATGTAGGCACATGAGGAAGTTGATTTTAGGATTATACGAACTCGGTTGAAGTTGTAAAACATTTTTCCACTCCCCTCCCCCTCATTACTTCCGGTGTCGCATTAAGAAATTTAAGTTCTGGCTGAGGTTTCTGTAATTATTTTGCTTAGTTAGCCACCTGATGAGAAGCTGGCGGTCGAAAAAGCGGTAGTGTTCCATTCAGCGTTTTATTGTTTTAGGTTATTAAATTGCCCTACAGTTTTGATTTTTCTAACACGATTTTTAACAAATATTTTAGTGTTTATTTACTTCGTTATATATATATATATATATATATATATATATATATATATATATATATATATATATATATATGCACACTACAGTTGAAAAGTTTGATGCCACCTCCAGAATTAGCATGAGATGAAATTGATAGAAGAGTGAAAAAATATGAAAAAGAATTCTTTGAGTCATTGAAAGAAGAAGGGAGTCAATTATCAAGCTTGTACTTTGAGAAAATTTGCCAAAATCTGTGCAGCAGTAATCAAGGCTAAAGGAGGATGTTTTGACGAGAGCAAAATTCAATCCTAAAATATTTTTTTTCCTTTTGTCATAATAAAATTTCTAATAAAGAATAATAGGGGTGTTTCTGTGAGTCTGTAAGAATAAAGAATAACTTTTTTTTAACCAGGTATAATATTTTTCTCTTATTTAAAGTCTAAAACAACTATTTTTTTCAATTTAAAAAAAATACCAGAGCTGGCCACCTCGAACTTTTCAACGTCAGCATCACGACCCTAGATTTTCGTAGACGGACTCTGGGATAATACTCTCAGGTGGTATCAGAACAACACACACACACACACACACACACACACACACACACACATATATATATATATATGAATAAAAACGAAAGGAAAACTTTTTTTACGCATAGAGAGACACACACACGCACACACACATATGTATATATATTTACAGCTGATAAACATGAACTACATATCCTTTTACACGTGATACATGTGTGTTTAAATTTTCATTAAAGCAAAATATAAGTGTGTGAGCTTTTGCGTATAATCTGAGTGTGTCTGTGCCTCTCTCTGTGTGTGTGTGTGTGTGTGCGTGCGTGCGTGTGTGTGTGTGTGTGTGTGTGTGTGTGTGTGCCAGTAGCGTCTTGTGCACACCGCCCTTTGCAGGCACGATGCCCGCCAGCTGACTCACAGGAAGCCTCAAATTCGCCGTATTAGTAGTTTCCCTCGCCACAGCGCTCAACATCCGACCAAACAAGGTCAGGGTACAATTTTCTCAAATTTTATCTTCTGAATTGCTTGTTCATTTTTTTTTTTTTTAATATATCGCATTTGATCTGCTTTTTTGACATTCGGTCTTTTTTTCCCAAGTGGACAGCATTAACCACATCGCTGGCAACCAATCGACTGACAACATTCTTCCTAACACAAATGCAACTGGTTTATGAAACACGTCTGAAACTGTCAATTTACAATGTACATTTCCAGGTAGAAACAGTTTGAACCACCCAGACAAAAACATTTTATTAAATACAACTGCATGCATAAAATATTGATCTCACACACACACACGCACGCACACACACACACACACACACACACACACACACACACACACACATATATATATATATATATATATATATTAAAGAAAAACAGACCACTTTAAGGTTCCATTAAAATAATTTATTTCACCAGAGTCCTTTTAAGGGACGCTGGATCATCAGATAACACTTCCAAAAATGAAATGAAAGATGAAATGAAAATTCATATATATATATATATATATATATATATATATATATATTAATCAAGCAAGGCAATACAACCAGTAAGACACAAGAGGTTACTGAGCGTGAAAAAATAAGAAAAAAGAGAAACATTATTAAGGAGCGAGAAGAAGAGAAGTGTAACCAGGTAAACAGTAGATATCGATTGACATTGCACTTAAATTTTTGTAGATCAAATTTGGCTGGAAAGCATGGACCTGAGAGAGAGTTCCACAACGAGTAGTGCGAGAAAAGAAATTGTTAGCACTGAACCAATGGTTACATTTAGCCATTTCGACTGTAAATCGATGTGAACTGGTCGCCAGTCTAGTACTACTCTTAAATTTCATAAAGATATAAGTACTATAACGAAAATATAAGTACCATAATGAGTTCATTCGAACAATTACCATGGAAGAATTTATGCATTTATTTTCCACTTTCTCATTGTTTGTTGTTTTAAAATTGCCTCACGGTGGGTATTGATCGCAAATAACAGCGGCAAATCCATACGTGTTTTTCAAATCATCCAGCAATATATGTCGTCAGGTTAATTACTCACAGTAGCGTGCATTCCTGTATGTGGAGGTGCGGGTAAAGTTATAGTTACCAATATGCGAACAGCGCAACGCTTTCTAAACATATCTGGAAATGAAAAACAAAAGTCAAAAACCAAATCACATCGAAAATATAAAGAACAATAAGGAAAAAAAACACCAGCTTACAACAATAAATCCAAAAAATGCAAACACTGTCTCGAGGAGAAAAATAACTATAATTAGCTTCCCAGACTACCACAAATTACCAAATAAACGATCAGAATTCATCTCAAAATGGAGACAGGAAAACAAATATTTACTACGTTACTTAAAAATCGAAAAATAAAAATAAATAATTAAATAAATAAAATAAATTGATGCAATTCAGTAAATAATAAACAAATTATCAAACTAAGAAGGCGCACATACACACAAGCAAATGTAATAACAACCAACAACAAATAATAAAATAATAAATAAGGAATAAAAAAGAAACAATACTGTAAAACAGCCACATAGCTGTGTCCACATCCACAATTATTTCCACTCAATTGATCCTAAAATAATTCGAAACATAAGCGCAGCCAAAAAACCGTTAGAATAATACACTAGGCCTACCCATAATGCATCACTGACCAGCATATATAAATAGTCGAGCCAAAACACAATGGCTTGACGATTGAGTTTAAACATGAAACAGACTGTCGTCCCTAGGTTTTTTTTATTTCAATGTCCACTTTTATATATATAGAGAAATGACAGTCAAGTTCGAAGCGCGTTACATTAATTTATGCACACCTTGGAAAAGGTATGAATTCATCTGTTCGTATCACCGTAGCTATGGGGTACATAGTACGACTCACTGGTTCTTTAGCCTCTGTTTAGGAGAAGGACAATGCAAAAACTTAGGATGCGTCGTTTGTGAACCTTGTGGCGCACTATGTGCCCCAGTTCTATGTATGATGTAGTGTGATTGATTCAGCAAATGCCTTCAGATTAAATGTGTGGGTAGTCTGGCTGTATTCTTCTAAGAATTGAGCTGCTGGATGCTCATACAACGATCGAAGACGACCGGAGGATCCATCTCTTACAGACTCACAGAAACACCCCATATATACATATATATATATATATATATATATATATATATATATATATATATATATATATATATATATAGGGCGTAAGTAACAGCAAAATTGTCCAAAGTGTGTAACAGTAAAATTGTCCAAATCGTATAACAGCAAAATAGTCCAAATGTTAGATTAAACACTAACTGTTGTATCCTCGAAATGATTTAAGATATCTTACTGGCATTCTTCGAGTTTTTTATAACACTATTGGACTCTACTTTGCGCAATAGGAATGTATAATTACTCTCCAAACTTAACAGAAGGATCGTGATAAAATCGATCATAAATAAAAATGATACGTTAATCATTAATTAATCATAGCTAAGGATCGAAAGCTCTTTGTTATTTTTTATTGATTGTTATTAGTACGTTTGGTTGTGTTTATGTGTACATTCTTTGTTAGTTAACACACACACGTACGTATATATATATATATATATATATATATATATATATATATATATATATATATATAGATAGATAGATAGATAGATAGATAGATAGATAGATAGATAGATAAACCTAGTAAGCCAAGATAGATAAACCTAGTAAGCCAGACAAACCTACCCAGGTTTCACCTAAGCGGATCCCTGACGATCCGCTTAGGTGAAACCCTAGGTTTGTCTGGCTCACTAGGTTTATCTAGGTCTGCTCTACGGTTGTATTGAGCTCTTTTGTTAGTTAGTTGTTTACTCGTATCGGGTTTTTTTTCTATGGGCTTCAGACCTGCATCTGTGCGATTTTCATGTTTATAGCTCATTCTTTTTTTTAAAACCTTTTTTTCCCTCGAGATTGATTTGATTATTGGCAAATGAAAAATTCGAGGGTTTACCGAAACAAGTATAGTTACTTATATATATATATATATATATATATATATATATATGTTTGTGTCGTATGTGGCACTTCAGTCCTGCTAGTGACCTGCATACGAGTCCACATATTGTGCATATCAACAGGAATATTAACTGACGTTTTTCACTGTTGTCTTTCGTCTCTTAGACGGTTAATACAACATTTCGAAATTTCTGCTACAACTCCAGTTATTTCTATCCCGGGGCACTTGCTCGGAGTTAGTATGGGGCAAAATGACAGCTGAGGGGTTACGATTTTGCTTGTTTTTATACCTCAGCCACGGCCGTCCAACAGTCCTTTGTCCACTGTCAATCTGGCTATTCATGAGGGCCTTAGGCATTCTGTCGTCACCCATTATTGCAATATGATCAGCCCAGAAAAAACTCAATTCCACCAATATTGCATTTTACTGTAAGATCAGGCACTGTACAAGCTATCGTCAAAAGTGTAGCCACAGATCGCAACTTTTGTGGAAGACACCCAGCTGATTGATATGCAACCTATATTTTGAGCAGTATGATCAAAACGGTTGCTCCAAAAACCCGTACATTGCTACCCAATTTGATACCTCTCTTAAAAGAGATGGTACAATCATGTCATCTTTTATGCTAGAAAGCCTTAGATTAAATTAGCCAACCATGTGTTAAAATTTAAGGAGAAAAATAAAAAAGATCCCAAAAAGATCCGAATGTAAATTGGGGAATTTCTATAAAATTCATATACTATGAAAATCATAGTAACAAATAGAACCTTTGCCAAAAAAAAAAAAGTTAGCTATAGTAACATTCCCAGATCAAAAATGTCTTTTAAACCAAAGACCGGAAATTATGTCCCCTTGTATTCATACTAAGAAGTTCCTTTTGAGCTTAATTGAAGTGAGATAAAAAGAACCTATATATATTTCATTTATTCCCCCATCGATACATTTCCAAAACATTTCATTTTCCCTTCCTTCTTCTAATTACATTCTACCACAGCTCAGGTCGTGCGCTTATTAATTTAAAAAAAAAAAATTTAAATATAAGCGTTCATAAATTTTCATTTTTTTTTAAAAATAAAGCGTTCGGAAATCAGTTGACCAAAATCGCCTGAAGATGCTGAAAGGTTGAAACCGAAACCCTTGGAATCTACTGATTTCCTAATTTTATATATAATGGACTCTCCTGTCAGTTTCGACGTATGAGGATCTGACAACTTAATTGATTCAGTTATATATATATATATATATGTATATATATATATATATATATATATATACGTAACTTATGAAGGAAACAATTTTTACATAACGAATTTTTTTAATACGGTCTCCGTTTTTGTCATTGTGCAATAATAATATTCCCATAAAAAATACCCAGTCAAAATTTCAGATAGAAAATTCGGCTAATAACTGCGCATTAGACTGCAGATTTATTAAATGATCATATATATATATATATATATATATATATATATATATATATATATATATATATGAATTTACTTTTCTATAGAGACATACTATCTACGTCTTCCTTTCTCTTGCTCTTCCTTTCTCTCCCTTTCTCTATATCTCTTCCTCCCTCTTTCTCTGTCTGACACATTTTCAGTTAGCGTTTCGTTTTTGTTTTTTATCTTTGTTACCATTCTTTTTCTTTTTTTTTTCTTGCTTTTCGTTTTCACAGGAAGTGCATTTTCTGAACACCGGAAATTCATTCACTGAATTGGTCATTAAAGAATAAATGCGGGTTTACGGAGCCTGCTGTCCGCTGATGGGATGCTGGCAAGACAAGGGTGATGTTTGTCAATCATATTTCTCTAAAACGACGGAACATTAAAACCTGAAGCATCCGTTCGGTAAAGCCTTTTTTATCGTTTCCTTTTATGAAGACACACACACACACACATATATATATATATATATATATATATATATATATATATATGTCTATATGCTAGCGTCTGGGCTGTCGACGACTAGGGACTGAGTTGTTTGACACTCATACGTCGAATACGACAGGAGAGTCTACCATATATATATATATATATATATATATATATATATATATATATATATGGGGGGGTTGTTCGGGTATGCGCATTTGTGTAACTTTATATTTCGTTGACATATTTCTTTCTTTCTTTTTGTTGCTTCGTTTTTCTGCTTTTTTTGCATCGGAACTATTTCGCTGTCTGAGTCTGTTCATTATCTATCTATCTATCTATCTATCTATCTATCTATCTATCTATCTATCTATCCAACAGAAATTTCTGTTACAATCGACAATTTTTCGTTCTCGTTAGCTTTAACTACTGACATTTTCCTATGACAATTATCTTATAATTTTCACCATTGCCTTTTCTTCACAACAAGAAAGCGATTAAAAAAAAATTTCCCCGTCAAATTAATCAGCGTCTATTCCCAGATATAAGTATACATATGTTTTGGCATCAAATTGAGCGACAACTGAAATGTCTGCTCACACACGTGTGAATGCGCGTGTAATAGTCTGGGGAGATTGCAACCGTGTCACCGTGTTTCCGCTTGAGACTCTACAGATCTCACGGCCTTGAAGAGAGAGAGAGAGAGAGAGAGAGAGAGAGAGAGAGAGAGAGAGAGAAACTGAATCTTCTCTACTTGTCTTTTTCGCTTTTATCAAAATATTATTATTATTATTAGTTTGAGTAGAGAGAGAGAAAGATATATATAGAGAGACAGAGACAGAAAAATAGAGATGCAAATCAATAGAAAGAGATAGATATCATTAATTTCAGATATTGATAATTCGCTATAGATATATAGATAGAGTGCTGACTAAATATATATTAATAATTTGATATGAATATAAATAATTTGATAGATATGGATAATACGCAATGTACAATCACACACAAACACATAACACACACACAAACACATTCACACAGATATATGAACTTTCCCGTCGATTGCGACGTATTAAGATCTGACAAACTCATTCAGTTATTATATTTGTGCTGTATATGAGACTTCAGTCCCGCTAGTGACCTGCATACAAGTCCACATATTGGATCTCTGGACATAGTCACAGGAATATTTGCTGATGCTTTTCGCCGTTGTCTTTTCGTCTCTTAGCCAGTCAATAGGGACTGATTTCAAAATTTCTGATACCACTCTGGCACAGATATCACCAGTTATTTCTATCCAGTGCAAAACTCTCGGAGTTAGTATGCGTCGCAGTGACAGCTGAGAGGTTACGCTTTGCTTGTTTTTATACCTGAGCCACTTCCGTTCAACATTACTTTGTCCACTGTCAAGCTGGCTATACATGAGGACCTGAGATATTCTGTCGTCACTCATCTTTGCAACATGACTAGCCCAGTAATGTTGTGACTCCATTAGAAATGTCTCAATTCCACCAGTGTTGCATTTTACTGGAAATCAGCATTGGAAACTCTATCGTCAAAAGTGTAGCCACAGATCGCACAGAGAGAATTTTTGTGGAAGACACCCAGATGATTGATATCCAACCTATATGAGCCCACGATTTTGAGTCGTACAACATAAACGGCTTTTCTATAAACAGGTATTTTGGTGTCCAATTTGATAACTCTCATTTAATAGGCTGTGGCGAAGCTTCTCAAATGGCACTTTTAGCTTTGGCGATCCGTTTTGTTATTTTTCATCAAGGGGTGCATTTGAATTCATCTTACGTCTTAAATATGTAAATGGTTTCATATACTTCAAGTTCTTCTCTTCAGTCTGTATTGGAGTGTGTCTGGGAATTGATGAATCTGCTTTGGACAAGGAGGCGGCTGGTAGATTACCACCGTTTAGTCTATGCTAATAGTGAGGCCAAAAGCTTTGCATGCAACATAGAAATGGTTGACGAGTTCTTGGGCTTCCTCTAGGGATGTTGCTACAAGTGCTCCATCATCATCAAACATCAGATCACGAATGACACTATTTAGAAGAAGTGCTTTAGCTTTGAAGACCAGCATTGGTTGGAAATTGAAATTTAACACCAGTGTCCATATCAGCAAAGGCATATTTTGGCATTACCGAAAAGAATAGAGCAAGAGAACAGGGGCCATGACACAACCTTGCTTCGTGCCATTTATAACATCAAAACGATCAGAGAATTTCCCATCGGAAACAGATTTTGGACCATCGTGAAAGGAGATATCATTCAACATTTTGTCTGGAATTTCAAGATTTTTAAGAAATTTCCAGAGTGCTTCACGATTTACAGTGTCGTATGCCTTAGTAAGGTCAACGCCATATACAACTACTGTTTCTTTTCACGCACTTTTTTCAGTTACCTGACTGAGTGAGAAGATCATGGCACTATTGACATGACTGGGTCCTGAAACTACACTGTGATTCCGGATAAATAATGATAATCCTGTACAGAATAAGTCCAGCAATTGACAGCAGAGATAATCCACGATAGTTGTTACAAACATTTCTATAAATTGTTCTTGTATAGGTGTTAATTTAAGGCATGCTTATAATGGTGAGAAATACGACCAGGCATCCATATTATTTTTTTTACCAGTATACTTGTAGATTTCGAACGGAATAGCACCCTCACCAGGTGAGTTGTCTAAAGAGATCTGTTTGATGGTGTTCAAGGATATCATGAACACCCTTATACCAAAGAATTTTGAAAAAACAATAACATTTTTGATCTTGTATATAAATACTTATAACAAAATAAAATCCTTAAAAGCCTTGATAAAATCCCTTAGGGATTTTATCAAGGCTTTCGTGTCGGCTAATATGTTTTCCTTTTGTCTTTATTTATAATGTACTTCTATATATATATATATATATATATATATATATATATATATATAGTACAGGTAATCGCTCCGTTGGTATATAATCTGGGTGGATCTAGTAATATTAATTATTAAAACTGAGCCACAGAGAGATCGACATATTTATTATAACAGAGCATATTTATATTTTTTACAGCAAAAAAAAAAAAATCCTCAACATGGGATAATCTATTTCAAGCCGTTATGTACGCGGCGATCATCAGCCCTTAAGTGTCTGGAGCATTGTTTTAAATTTATTTTCAATGTCAGTTCTCCTCTGGTAGACGCTTTGTTAATGGGAATGGCCTTGTGTTAGCAACTTATGACGGCTGGGGCGGGGAGCATAAGGTATCTTATCCCAGAGGAAGTGGTTTCGGGTAGGAGTTTATTTACAAGTAGAACCTTTCGTTACTTGTAGTTTAATATCACTTCATACTATGTGGTGTTTCTTATACGAGCCCCAAGTGTGTTTTTCTAGGATAGCTTTTGTACTGCAAGTGTCCAATATTATTAATAAGCGAGGGAGGATTTAAACTTAAACCCGTTAAGATTAACTTAAATTAGTTGAGTTATAGATTTATAGATTGGGGCTAATACCAGAGCACCCATACTGTCTAACACACTTGTATGCATACATATCTTCATATATACATATATGTACATTTACATGTCCATAAATATATGCCACTATATGCACACATACACCCACATATATAAACACATGTATTCTTATGTAATTTGGAATTTATAGTGATTAGTGCCCTCCGTTGCTTTACCAGTTTGCATTGATCTTTATATTTTATTATCATGGTTTTTTTCTTTTCAACATGGCTTGCATCTATCCCTCAAAACTTTTGGGGGTGTTCGCGAAAACTAGAATTTTCCCATTTATTTGAGGATTCAGAAATGGGACATAAAACCAAGAGTATCATTTAATTCCATAGAATTTTGTGATGATAATATTTCTTCTTTTTGGGGGCTTGGAAAATTTTACACTCAGAAGACATATTAAAGGCAAGAGGGACAGCAAATAACCTTCTTAATGGCCTTGTGTAAATGGATGGCAGAATAGAGACATTTACGTTCTGAAGTGCATTTAATCATTTCACTCCAAGCAAAGCTATAAAGCCACTAAGACGCGAAGGATTACTGAGAGTGAAAGAGCACGAGAAGATTTTAGCGAGGTGAAAGGTCAATAAAGACCAGGTTTCAGGAAGATAGAAGATGACGATTTGCGTTGCATTTACGTTTTTGAAGATTGTAGGTGGCAGGGAAGTAAAGAATCGGATGAGCGTGACACAGGCGAGAAGTGTGAGAAAACAACTATTAGAATAGAACTTATGGCTATATCAAGATATTTCAGTACTAAAACGATGAGACCTATTTTCTATTCATGCGGTTAAGAGCCCATTAAAAAATTGCCATGAAAATATTTATAGACAACAGAAAGTGACGACAGGGCGGTGGGAAAATGACTAGTCGAGATGCCAGGTCAGGGCCAATAACATTACGGGCACTTCTTTAGATTTTGTTGAGAATTACGACATATATAGTAGGAGCACTATGCCAATAATATTCAATGCATGGACGAATGACAGATTTATAAATATGCAACTTGACTAGTAGCAGACCTTCTATGTCCGTGGAAAACGTGAAACCAAAAAGGCACAATCAGTTGTTTTCTTTTGGTTAGCATCAGCCATATTGATGAAAGGAAAATTGGTTCTTTATGATGATTAAAATATAGTAGTCTCGTTTTACAAGCCATTTTTGCCCCGAATTAATACTTAATTAGAAATAATTGTCGAGAGCTGCTTCCAGTTTGTCTTTGTTGGAATTATTAAACTTACTATTAAGACAGGGATAAATAGCTGTGTCATATTTAACTAGTTGGGAACTGATGATGTTGGGAAGGTCGTTGATAAGGATAAGAGACAACAAGGGTTCAAGGACAGAGCATGTAGAAGATGATGTGCACGGCTTTATTAAAAACGTTTTATTTGGCACATCCAGTGAGGATCAAATTAAGCAAGTTTAGAAGAGAAGTTGTAGAAAAGAAAGGTGCAAACAAACAAAAACAGATTTTAAATCGATAAATAGATGTAAAGAAAGCAAACGAAGGAGAAAAGTTTGAAGTAAAATAGAGAAAATAAGTACAAAAAAGAAAAGGAAAAAGAGAGAAAATGAAAAGGAACAATAAATAAAAAACAGAAAGGATAAGAAACAGAAAAAGGAAAACGAAAGAAAGAAAGGAAGAAAGAAAGAAAGAAAGAGAAAAGAAAAGTTAAAAAAGCACAAAAAATAGAAGAGATTTAATAAAAGAAAAAGAATGTGGAAAAAGAAAAAGAATGAAGGAAGAAGAGAAAAGAAAAAGTTAAAGAAAGAAATGGAATAAATTAAAGAAGACGAAGAAAATGAAAAAAGAATGAAGAAAGAAAGTGAAAAGTAAAAGAAAAAATTTAAAAAAGAAGATTGTAAAGAAAAGAAAAGGAAATAAAATGAAAAAGAATTAAGAAAGAAAAAATAAAAGTGATTAAAGGAGAGGAAAAGAAAGAAAAGAAAATGACGAAGAAAATAAAGAAAAAGAAAGAAAAAACGTGAAAAATAGAACATTGAAATGGAAAAAAATAAAGTCAGGGAAAAAAAATGAAAAAGAATGAAAGAAAGGAAAAAGAAAGAAAGAAAGAGAAAAGGAAATTTTTTTTTTAAAAAAGAACATTGAAATGTAAAAACTAAAGAAAGGAAAAAGAAAGAAAATGAAAAAAAGAATGAGGAAAGAACAAAGAAATGAAAGAGATTAAAGGCGAGAAAAAGAAAAAAAAAGGAAAATAATAGAAAAAAAGAAAGAATGGAAGAAAATGAACAAAACGAGAGAAAAGGAAAGAAACGAAAAGAAAAAGAAAAAAGAAAGAAAATAAATATAAAGGAAAATAAGGAAAACGGACTCTATAGCTATAGTTATTATCTTACTGTCTCAGGCGATTGCTCGTGAGTATAATGTTCACTGTATCTAGCAATATGGCGGACGGATTAAATCTTAATAAAATCCTTACATTTATGCACAGTGTAATTGGATGGGGGAATTAGACGTGACCATTTTCGCTCTTATCAAATTGCCTGAACCGAGTTCAATCCCAAAGAGGATTGATTTAACTGCTAATACACCCTCAAAATGAATTTTTAAAAAATCGATTCGTGGGATCAATAGATAATATTTCAGATTGTTACAGAAGGTAAGGGTTAAATTCTTGGTTATGTCGAACATTGGATTATTCCTACTATTTCCGATTGAGCTAAGACTCCAAAATGTCTGCGTGAAAAGAGAAAAGCAGTCGATGGTTGGAACCACTTCGTCAAACAATATGCATAACAGTCCATAGCGTTGTGTGAAGTAGCTGCTTATCAAGGCGTGTGAATATAAAACAGAGCAATTATTATTCCTGAAGTGGATTATATTTGTCTAAAGTTCAAAAAAACAATTGTTTCCACAGATGTACTTCTGTTTCTAGATTCACTAATTGCAAAGCTATTAACCGAAATTCTTTCGATTTCAATTTGCATTGTGTCATTTCAATTTAGAAAATTATTTAATTTCGACTTTGTTAATGGAATGATGTCGTTCAAACTTTGTATCTATTTCCAATTGATGTATAAAACTAATAATGCATAGAAAATAACGTTAATTAGTTGAAACGCATGGAAACATTTATTGTTACTCGGTAGTTTTATATATTATGAATAAAACATGCTGGAAATGACACAATAATTTCACAGCGAGCGTAACATTTGGCTTTTGAAATTGGGAACAACATTATCAGTAAACACCTGTTAACATGGCGTTTCCAGCTGCATGTTATAAGGAATAATGTAGATAAAATATACCGTTTCTGTACATAGGCCGAGGAGACGACAGATGATCTATTATCAACACTAAATGTTAAAATATGCCTCACAGACAATGTATTCATTAGAAGATATGCCTTATATAACTTCTTGTGAGCGAGTTCAAATTCAGGCTAATACAGTCACGTTCTCCTTTTCTCCCCCAATTTATGTGTTAAATAGCAGGATAGACTGGGTTCTGTAGCTTTGAATGGCAACGACTCCAAGAGAAGGAAAACACGGCAATTCACAGATCACAAAGAGACACGATCGCCTACACGTTGAAAAATGAGCTGAGCAATAAAAAAAGAAAAAAGATAAAAAAACATAAACAAAAAAAGTGCCGTGTCCATTCAGGACGTCGACGATCATGGCTCTCCACAAATTCTTGTCCTTTGTAGCTCTTAGCGATGTTTGTCTTTTTACTATCTCTCCTATTCCTTGTTCTGCAAACAATTTATGCATACTCGTTAAGTAAATTATTGTCTGCTTTCCCCTGTCACTCGTCTTTCAACATGACTTGTGAGTGTCAAATTTTCCAAGCCCTCTTTATTCATTATTTTCCCTAGAAATATCAGTTGCCGATTTCTGATTCTAAGTATGTGTCCATTTTGTTTCCATTTTCTCTAAAACTTCGTCGTTGATTGTTGATTCGTTTTTTACGGCTTAAAAATACTTTGTAAATTATTTAAAACCAGAAAATATTTTTAGATCGTAATAATTGTTTTTTGGAGAAAATAATAGGTTAGTGATACAATTCTTACTATTCATATTTTTCCCAAGGGTATTTGCGTGTAAGTGAATATAACGAACCCAACTGGAATTGAAACTCGGCTCTCCGTTAAACAATTGCGAGCCATTATCCATTACACCACCCACACATTCAGCCTTACATCTGATATTCCAAGCGATCACCCATCTAGGTAATGCGGAGTCTCGACGTTGCTTAAATTCGGTGATCATACTGGAACCGGTGTCTCAACCTAATATGACTGTAAGCCCCATTGCTCACATGTTCAGTCCATGGTATTCTCAGCGTCCTTCTCTAGAGTTACACTTATGTTGCTTCAAGTATCTTCTTTAGTTACAAGGAGGTTATCCAGCGTTCACTGGCATACAGGAAGACAGATACATAACAGTTCGGGATTCGTTTCTAACAATTCTTTTCTTTTTCTTAATATTTTGCTTAGCTTTTGTAAGGCGTCTTTTGTTATCCCAATGCGCCTCTTAGTAGTTCTGTACTCTTTTATTTGTTATAAAAGCTTAAAGACCAAATAGTGTTATAAAAGATTACAAATAGAAATGTCATCTCATAGGCCTGATTGTACCGTGTGATAAAAAACAAAACAAAAAACATTTCAATTATTGCACAATCCATTACATGGATCCTTGCACAACTCTTGTTTATTGAGTTGTTTTTGATGAAGCACTTTAGACGAAAATTATCAGAGATCTTGCTTAAAGTATCTCTATCGCTGATTTAGGGCCACGTGCGGTTTTAAATACAGAACTGTCATCCTCCTAGACTGATTACCAACCACGGCTAGAGTGCCAACTCTATCCTACTATGTAACCCATATATAGTGGAAAAAGAGGTGGATTTTATCCGTAAGTGAATGTAATGAAATCGACTGGAATTCGAACTCGGCTCTCCAATTTCTAATTCCCGGCGACTATCCATTAAATTAAGATCGAGAAATAGAAATGAATTACATGAAAGTGGCACCTAAGCAGAACCGTCATTGCATTAGTAGTAGGAGCACTAGGGATGATTATGAAAAATATTGATAGATACATTAAGTAAATTCCAGGAATCCATCTTTATCTGAAATACAAAACATTATGTTAAAGAGTACTGCTCACATATTTAGAAAAAAACTGTTTCAATCCCATATATTCAGTATTCGCCCCCACCTGCACCCTCCAAAAAAAAAAACCCAGTTCCTTATAACTCTCATGTGTAAAAGTAGGTAAGTGTTTGTATCAAACAGCAAATCCAAAGAAATAATAACCATAACAGGTTCATTGAGAAGAGCAATACGATCTTCTTCTGGAGCATACCAACAAGCCAGATGTCCAAGACCCGAAAGAAAAGATAGGTATAGCCATTGAGCACATCACTCCTCAAACACCGTTGCAGTATGCCGGGAAGCTTCATAATTGATGTTTATTGGGGTTTTCATGCCTCGAAAAGGAAAAATCAGACGTACTATGACTCAATACACGCACACACAAATTCACCAACAGCGTATCCCAGACAGCGACAACACCTACACTGTCAGCTGATTGCTTGGGTATTGAAAAGATTTGCTGTCATATTATCTCCAGTGTATGCTACCCGTTACGATTGGTGTGAACAATCAATACGCACAGAATCGTGTATTACCCGACTTGAATATAAGCCAACCTCCTATTTTATATCTGACAAACAAGGAGAAAATCCAAACGCCATGTAAGAGCAGATTAAGCAACATTATGTTTAGAGGGCTTGATTTTGTAAATTCTCACGAGAATATTTTTACGAAGGGACTAAGCATAAACTACAAGAAGACGGAATGAATGGAAAAGGATGAGCCCGAAATGCGACTGGCAGGTCGGGAACCCTAGAATCAAGCAGATGCGGAAGTTTAAATATCTGGCAAGCGTTTTGACAGAGGACGGCAAGTGCGACACTGAGATCCGTAGACGTAATGGGATGGCCAAGGACTCATTCCAAAAACATTGCGAGACAGGAAGATTTCTTTGGTAACAAAGAAAAGAATCATGAAATGTTACGTGACATCTGTCCTTCTTTACGGCAGCGAAAGTTGGATGATTTCCTCAAAGATGAAGAGACCCGAGGCGACAGAGATGTAGTTCTACAGAACTAAGGATATCATAGACCGATCATGTGAGCAACGATAAGGTCTTAGAGATGTTGTAAACAAAAAGGAGGCTTATACTTAATATCGGGAAGAAGCAGCTGAGGTTTCTGGGACACATAATGAGGAAGGAGGACCTGTGACAATCTAATACTCACGGGTCGAATAGAGGGTAAGAGAAACAAGGGAAAACAAAGCATGGCGTACCTGGCGCGCTTAATTAAGCAAATGGATAACAGAACGTAGTCTGGGGGAGATGGCAGAGAGAAGGAACTTGTTGAGAGCTGCAAGGGATAGAGGGAGGTGGAGAACCATGATCGCCTACGTCCTAGAACGACATGGCACATAAAAAGAAAAGAATATTTTTTATCTAAAATATTTTCGTGTCATTTTCAGTATGGTTTTTGTTTTACAACTCAATTGTACAATGAATTTTTTTTTTACAATTTCTATTTTATAAAAATTTTTCAACTTTTTGATTTTTTTCTTTACTTCCATTTAGTAAGCAACAATAGTGTCAACTTCTGAATGTAGCAGCATTTTATTTAACATGCAAATCAAATGAAACGCGTTCCGTAAAAAAAAATTGATAAACATTTAACGTAATGTTGGGAGAAAAAAACCAAAAAACAAATAAAGATTGTGAGTACTAAAATTATTTTGTAAAATGCTTTTAATATCTAAGTAAAACAATGTTTTATTGAATAAAAGCCAATTCCCATTCAATTTCATCATCACTTTTCTCACATATTTCTCGCCTTACACACGAGTACGTATGCTAAATAATAATAATAATAATAATAATAATAATAATAATAATCATACAGAAAGTGAGTTCGACTTATTGGCACAGCGAGAATATAACATGAAAATATCGCACTTATTTTGTATTGTTTTGTATAAATTCTTCTATATGTCTGTTGTAGAGTAGAGGCTTGTGGAGGCTTGTATTTCACTAAGTCGGTCCTAAAAAAAAATCTTTTTGCTGCACAGGACAAATGCTTGCTGACTAGAAATTACTAAGCACACATACTGAAAAATTATGTTTGCCTAAAATGCAGATTCTGTGATAAATGTCCAGAAGCATTTGACGATCTTTTATCCGGTTCCATGGTATTGTCACCCACTGAATATAAAATCAGGCATGAAAGAGTGGGCTAATATCTGCATCGGAAAATATGCAATTTTTACGGAAGGGAAACTGCAAGAAATTGGTATGAACACCACCTAGACCCGGTTAGGAACCGTAAGAATTTTATGGGACTTTACAATACACACAGACAGAACAATCAATGCTAACGTGACCAGAGACGGCAAAAAGAAAATGTGCCTTCTTATTGACATGGCAGTCACTGCAGACTGTAATGTATCTTTCAAGATCTTGTTGCGCATGAGGACAGACTCATTGAAGAAACTCCTAATAGCCAATGCCTTGAAGAAATACAAAAAATGTACTCACATATACAACTTACACATTACGAAGAGCTTTATCTATGAAAAATATGTTTGATCTTAGTTTTTTTTTGCATAAATTATCAGTGGAAACTGTCATAAAGCCATTTCTGAACTTAGTTCACTGGTTGGAACCCGGAAGGAAATTTGTATAGAACAGAAATGAAAAGGAAATAATAATAATAATAATAATAATAATAATAATAATAATAATAATAATAAAGGTAAATATATACAATCAATTATTATATTCGGATTACATTTAATATTTGACAATGTACTTAGGTTGGCGATTCGATTTTGCAGTGAAAACCGTCGAATCGGGATTTATAATCTGTTGGTAAAATCACGTGGTTATGTTCAATGAGATGGCGGAAGTAAATCATTGCTAAATAGGTGGCTAGTAATTCCGTGTCGAAAGTAGAATACTTTGCCTGAGTTGATTCTCAACGATTTTAGGAAAGGAAAACAAAGATCGTGCCCATTATTACTTGGTCTCCCACATCTCAAGATCACGTTACTTCTCATTAATTTGATGATTTAATTCGAGCCTCTAACCTGGCCAATTTTTCAATATGGTGACACATTCATCAACTAGTCTCTTCTTTTGTAGACACACTGTGATATGGAGCTCCGTAATGCTAAATCTTGCCTTCATCCAATACTGGTATTCAATATCCCTTCAGCAACTGGATGTATTTGTCACCATACAAGCTATCACCGTTTTGAACCAATTTTCTTGAGCCGCGTAAAATTCTTTGGTCATCTCAGAGAAAACAAGTCAGATACTGTATTTTTAAAAAAAGGTATGTAATGAAATTTCAATCCATTACGTTGATTTCAAGAAGTTAAGGCACATTGTTAATATTACGTATGGCTTCCTGTAGCTTAAATAATTGCCTTAATACGGTGGAGACTGGTACTAGATAGCAATCCCTGCGGCTAGGCCCCCAAAACACATGGTTTCTCCTGTTGAATTCTATTCATTAGCTCTGTCAGAATTTGATCAATGATTTAAGTCATATCTCTAATCTGGCCAATTTCTCAATGCGTTGACACATTCATCAATCAGTGTCTTTTGTGTTATATGCAACAATAATTGAGCTCACTAATGCTAAAATAGCGGACTTTCATTTAAGTCTGGTTTAAAATGTTCCTTCAGCGACAGAATGTATTTTCAATTCGTTGACATATTCATCAATCAGTGTCTGTTATGTTGCATGCAGTTTGCAATAATAGAGCTCACTAATGTTTAAATATCTGACCTTCATTTAAATCTGGTTTAAAATGTTCCTTCAGCGACAGAAGGTATTTGGCACTGTGCAAGCTATCGCCAATTTTAACCAATTTGCTTGACCATATACAGCCATAAATCATCGGACTTTCTCCTAAAAAATTCTCGTTATGTAACTTTTGTCATTTTTATTTCCCGTTGGCCTTCTGACAAATTCTCGCTTATTAGAATGCAGCTTCGTTTCATCGCTGAATGTCATCTTACCCCAAGAATCTGCACCCTACAGATCACATCATTTTCATCAACTTAATGTTGTCATCAACCAATGAACAGCCAATGCGTTTTGTGTGTTATTTTAAAAAATCTCTCTTTTGTGTTCATATAATCTTATATTTAAACTTGTTGAGGTTTCTCCAATGTATTCATTCTGCACTTGATAATTCCTCCCTCAAGTATTGGCTTATTTTGTTTTATATTATTTAAATGATGTAGTTGTGACAAATTTTATGTTGAGTTTAGGTAAATTCTTTTCGATTGATGTTGTGATAGAGTTAGTGGGCAGAATAATATATTTTTTGATTCGTTGGGTTTGTCAAGAGGGGCCGCTTTTCTGTTTTGGAATATTTTATGAGCCTTTTGTTTTGCATTGAATATGAAATATTTATGATATTGAAGAGTCTTGAAAGTATTTTCAATATATTTCTTCTCTTCGTGTATATATATATATATATATATATATACAAATAGATAGATAGATAGATAGATAATGGGTATATACTTATATATATACATATATAAAAGCACGCAACTATATTGGCATATACATATGTATAAAATGTCACCTTAATGAAAATCATGAAAATGACCAATTTTTGAAAGTCAACATTTGATTGTTCGCTTGACATTTGTATAAATCGTAGTCGAGACAAAAATCACACGCTTTCAAAATAAAATTAAACAATTTCATATCCACTTATACCCTGAACTGCGTCTGTAACAAATGATGAAATAGTGTACGTGCAATGACAGACGGATGGATACGTATATACACGAGGTATGTAATCATTTATTATTAACTAAAATATCCTACCTAGGGCAATGGCGATTTAGTCCTCTTTAACGACTTTCGTTTAGGCAGAGAATATTTATTCCAGAAACCTGGTTTTGTCAAGAACGAACTTGAACGGAAAATTAAAAACCACTAACAAGTGTTCCGAAAATAATACTCGAAATAAATCTTTTGGAAACCGAACCTATGATTTGGAATTAGAATGTAAAAAGTTATGTCACAAACTCTGAAACTATCATAAAAATTCAGGATGTAGATTTTCTAAATAAAAAAAATCAAATACCTCCGTGTATGGCTCAGTTATAATAAATATAGTATAGAAGATAAGGAAATTGAACATAGAAATGGCTGCACTAGAGGTAATTTGGACGGTAAAATGACGAGACCTTGCCTTGGTGTGCGGATCAATTATATCGAAAATTTAGTATAGAAGATAAGGAAATTGAATAAAGGATAGGCTGCATTAGAAGGTGCAGGATGACTTATCACCGCC